AAGACTGCACTAGTGATCCTGAATTCATATTAGCTCTGGTGTAATGATTAGAGGGTCCAAAATTAGAACCTTGTGACAGTCCTGAGTGTGGATAAAAAGATGGTCTTCCAGAAGCAAAATCAGATGATCCTGTAAGCTCAGCAGGTCTTGCAAAATTAGGAGTAGCAAAAGCATGACTCACATTACTCCTGACCTGTGCATTGTTACCAGTAAAATGTACATCAAATCTGTGGTAACAATGCAGAGCTAGGTGTCCTATCTTCCCACAGACTTGACAGACAAATCTGTTCTTACCACCTACTTTGCCTCGGCCTCGGCCTCGGCCTCCAGTAACATGGCCGGATTGATATGGATAAAATTGATTAGGAGGGGTTAGGTACACAGGATAATTTTGATGTGCAGTCTGATTTGCAGTATAGTGGGATGGCACTAGGTTATGTGTTTGCTGTAAAGGTAGTGGATGTGTATGTGATGAGGATTGGGAACTTGTTCTCAAAAAAGTTTCATTTGCATCCAATGCTAATTTGTTTTTGTTACTGTCAACACTTAGATTTGCAACATTAGCAGAGATCCCATGAAACTCAGACTGTATAGCTGAGGTCAGTGCATTATTAGCCTTTTCTAACCTAAGCTCCAGTTTCTGCAGAATTATTTGAGCTTCTTGAACTGAAATGGGATCTAACCTAGACTCTAATCTAGTAGTAATGTTCACTACAGCTGCATCACAGTCAGAATCAAGGCCATCTGAGATGAAATTTAACAGTTCTTCATCAGAAATTCCAATTCCACTTGAGGACAAACTTTCGGTAAATCCTTTCATTTTAAGAAAGTAATCATGCATACTTAGGTCATGTTTCTTTGTATTTTGCAGTAAGTTCTTAATATGTAATGTCTTAGCTTGTGACTAAGTAAGAAATTCCTTTTCTAAAGTGAGCCAAATCTCAGTTGACAATTGACATTTAGAGATTACAGAAAAGATTGACTCTGAAATGGATGACAACAGCCAGCTGACAAGAAGCTTATCTATCTTCTTCCAGAGGTGGTATTCCGGATTAGATTTTTTGACAACTTCAGAGGTTGGACTATCTGATTGAACTCGAATGAACGGCGCTGGGCAAGAAATCAGTCCAGTGAGGTGATCCTCAAGATCATGAGCTCCTACTATAAATAATATTTGCGATTTCCAGAACCTATGATTATCTCTAGTGAGTTTAGGGTTGATTACAAGGAGTGTGTTTGAGGATATTGTGGTTGAGCAAGTAAGATTACTAAGGTTAGTATTATGTTTCTGTCCTGATTGAATGGAATCTTTATCAGATTTGTGATGTGGAGAAGAATTTGATGAAAAATCGGCCATTGTTGACATTGGTCAAAGGCTCTGATACCAAGTTGAGAATGAGAATTGAGAGGGAAGAAGAAAAACGACTTAAGAAAGTAAAGTGGGTACTGTATACTTTTCATTAACCAGTAAAAGGTTACAAGCTCTGTTTATATACAAGAGCACAGTACGTGTTTTAACAAGATTAACAAATTGCAACTTGCAACTTAGGCTAGGCTAAGGTTACTTGTCAGTAACCTAAACATAATGAACCACTTGCAACTAATCCTAACACTATGTATCTACAGACCATTGAAGCGCAAGTTGGACTCAATAATATTTGCTTCCAATGGAGCAGCTTTTTAAAGGTCAGTTGATTTTCTTATCCAAAACTTAGATTGTAGGAGCTAAACCACTTTCCTCTTTTCTTTTCTTTATTTAATTTTTTTGTTCTGGTGCCAGCTTATCAGGATTGCTTCGACAAAAATTAAATTTGTTTGGTTTTGGGTTCTGTATCCTTAACATAATTACTGATGCAAGGTCTGCTCGATGTCCTGCTTCCTTATGGTTAGTGCTGGTGGTTTAAAGAAGAGGAGTTAAGTTTATTGCCAGCAATGGTGATCATTTGAAAATAGAATACAAATAATTATAAGAGAGATAGACAGAGGAGAAGGCTAAAAATATTTTCTTTTTTTTATCTGAATGGTTATGGAGGCGAGACATTTTCTAAAAGTGATTTAGTATTATATAGAAAATGATAATTTAAAGGTAGCCTTGAGATTACTTTTGGAGATTCTGAATAAATTTCATCCATTCTTTAGAGTATAACTATATATTATATTTGATTTACAAGGATAGTGTTTATCTATTGGGACTTTGAGATTGGATTTCTTCTTATAGTTCATTTTTCTGATCATTATCTTTAAACTATCCAAAAGTCAAAATAATAGTCATGTCATTGTTTACTATCATATCGTGAACTGGACTATAGCTAGCACACATCAAACTAAGGTTAGAATCAGTTAACACAAAATCTAAACAATGCAAACGATTTAGAATGTAGTTTTGGTGTATTTGTTTTTTTTTTTTTTTTTTTTTTTAGTTCGCAGCATAGCTTCTGGACTCCAACATTTTATTGAATATACTTAGTTGTATTATATAGATTTTTATGCCAATAGCTAAGCTCATTTTAAGACTATGTCAGGTACGTGAGAAGTATGAAATGAAGAGGAGAACAAGAATAAGATTCTGATGAGAGTTTTCTCTTGGATTTGGAATGATTAAACCATGATTTTGCAAAGTATTATGGTTATGCTAATATTTATGTCATGGATTCTATAAATGCAAGCTAGTAAAATTTTCTTGGTCCACTTGAGAAAAAAAAAAAAAAAAAAAAAAAAAAAAAAAGAAGAACAACAACACAACAACATATTTCTGCTAGGCCTACTTTGAAATGCCCCAACTTATAATGGTAGAAAAATTCCAAAGATGCCAGTGTATTCTTAAAATTTGGGTAAATTGTTGTAAAACAAAGTTCAATGCACTATGAGAAAACAATTCCAATCAACCACAACTATTTCATTTGATGGAAGCATAAGCATATTGGTGTCAAAGATGAGACTTTTTTATTCATTATCCTATTTCACTTGAAATGGGTTCCACTATTTGATTTATTTATTTGATCTTTAAGTTTGTAAGTCTGAAGCATGGTGTTCCAAGAGCATTGAATAGCTTCTCCTAGAAGAGAATAGTTTATACATTTAGAATTTTAGTTTTCAACTTCCATGTGTCATTTTAGTATTACTTCAGTTTGCATAGCTTGCGTTTATTTGTCGGCTATATTTCAGGCTTTTTTGTTTTATAAATTTGAATCTTTCCGCATGATGGCTTGTTAAACCTCGTGACACGATTTGCTTTTTAACTTTTTGGAAGAACTTTTGTATGACGTGCATTCCTCGTGCTCTACCTTCATCATTAGATCATTAGATATTCGTTGCATGCTGCTATGATACTATTGGCTCTGTCACGAATTATGAAAAATAACTTCTTCCTTTTTTTTCCTCTGGTGGCATTACTTAGTGAGATACATAAAACAGAAAACCTTATCTTTTACAACTGGTTAATGAGAGTTATTGAAATGAATTTTTATCCCTTATTGAGAGCTTATTGCTATTAAACCCATAAAAAGGAAAATGAAAAGTCATGCTGATGTGTTCTACAGTATTTTTTAGTGTCAAAAACTCAAATTGTGTTTAAATTAAGGATGTTTGTGTTTGTTGCCCAGGCTGGAGTCCGAGAATTGGGAGCCTTTTGTCACAAAAAATGATTTCTAACCTTTCTGGCACGGATACAAATATGGCAGTGCATGTGGTGCCTTATAATATCTTAAGCTACTAATTATGACTAGAAGATTCCTGATGTGCACATTATTTATGCTTAAGAGGATGTTTGTCTAAGCTTATAAGCTGGTCAAATTTGCTTATAAGCTCTAAAATTAAGCGGACCTGTTTGTTTATAAATTTTTTAAGCTTATGAGTTGAACTTATAAGCTAAAAAAAATAAGTTGGGAGGGAGGTACTTTTTTTTTTTTTTTGGCTTATAAGTACTTTGCTTATAAGCTAGTTTGACCAAGTATATTACCACATTATCCTTATTTAATTTTAAAATTCTATAGTGTGCACTTGTTTAATGTAATACCTTTTTTAGTAATTTTATAATAAAATGTACTTATAAGCCACATTTTACCAAACACGTCAATTACTTATCAGTCACTTATAAATACTTTAAGCAAACACGTAATTGCTTAAAATTTCAAATGCTTATAAATTAATTTTAGCTTATAAGCAATTGTTGTTGCTTATAAGCTAATTTTCTTAAGCTCAGACAAACACCCCCTAAAATACATGTATTTCAACTTTGAAAATGTTTACACTAAAACCACTGAAATATATCATTACTCAACTGACAACAAAGTTAACTTTAGAACAAATGGGTAAACTTTTAATGTTGGCACCTGCAGAAATAGTAATCTTACACTACTTGATGATTTTAATTTATTTACCACCTAAAATGTATTTTCAAAACAATTCTAATATCCTTTATAAAATCAAGTTGATTTCTCTATAATGATTTATTGTTAAATTTACAAATGTAAAGTTTAGGATAAATCATTAAGTAGCGTAAGATTACCATGTAGCTTAGCTATGGAAAAAGGTGCGGAATCCATGTCCATGCTAAAAACAAATCAAGGTAATTCCATGCATGCTTAAAGTAAGTTGTGTTTTTGAGCGTTTCATTTTTATTTGTCATTGTCCTGATTATAAAACTAACATTGCCAAGGGCTCTCTGATTGGAATTAGATCAGCACAACCAAGAGCTCTCAGCAACATGGCTGTTTGCTTGCCTTTCAGTGCTAGATAAGTTATCTTTTGTCAAGGTCTCTCTGATTTGAATTAAACTTGTTCAATAAATTTGTAATTATGTTTGATTCCTTAGATTTGTAGATTCAGCTTTAAAAATAAAATAAAAAAATTAGTATCAGTTTCTTGATTTTTAAAAACTTGTGTGCTTGCTTGAATCTGCATTCTGGATATATGTGCTCTTGAGTATGATTTAAACTGGTATAAGTTTGATTCACTTGTCTATGGGTAATTGTGTGCAATGGGTCTGTGTGAAGGTAGATATGAATTTTGAATTGATTTTAGTGGGAAGTTTTGCATAGAGTTGGTGTTAAACTCACTCGTTTGACAGACAAATGGAAGGTGCATTATCATTAGATAGTTGTATGATTCTGGAAAGGCTACATGGTTTTGAAGGCTTGCAAGGACTGATGCAGCTTCATCACCACCAAGACCCACATTTTTACCAACATGGGTCAATGATTCAACAGCAAACTGGAAGTGTTTCCCTCTTAAATGTACAGTCTATGCAGGTGCAACCTATTTCTGTCACTGACTGTGATATTGATGAGAGAGGACAAAGATTGGTGAGAGATGATTATTTGAGGAATTTTTCTGAAGCTGATGTTAATGAGCATAATGAAGTTGGTGAAGGGACAGAGAAACAGTGGCAGCGTATAAAATGGACTGAGCAAATGGTGAAGCTTCTGATTACCACTGTTTCGTACATTGGGCAATATGCTTCTTCTGTTGTTGGCAGTGGAAGACAGGAGTCTTCGGTCTTGCAGAAGATAGGAAAATGGAGACTTGTCTCAAATGTCATGGTTGAGAGGGGTTATAATGTATCTCCTCAGCAATGTGAGGACAAGTTTAATAACTTGAACAAAAGCTATAAGAGACTCAATGAGGTTTTTGGGCAAGGCTTCTCTTGCAAAGTCGTGGAAAACCCAAAGCTTTTAGATGAGATGAGCATATCTGAGAAGGAGAGGAAGGATGTAAGGAAAATATTGTGCTCAAAACAACTGTTTTATGAAGAGATGTGCTCATATCACAATGGCAATCAACTATATCTTGCTCACGATCCAGATTTGCAGAGATACTGGCAGTTGGCGCTTAGGAAGAAAGACAAATTCGAGTCTCACCCAAGGTGTTCCAAGGCTAATGATTTTGATGAACGAGTTGAAGATGCTGGAGCTGATGGTCGAGCTAATGAAACTGAGGATGTTGGTGGAATTTCGGCGGTTCAAGAGGTCTCTGTAACAAGAGATGTGGAAGCTGTTAATCCCCTAAATTTTGTAGGCGTTAATGGACTTGATAAACAATATCAAGATAATGAAACTTTTGATATTGATGGCGTGCTCGGCGTTTCAGAGGCCTCTGGAAAAAGGTTGGAAAAGGTGAATAGAGATGTTTATCCCTCGGAATTTGTGGGATTTAAAGGAACATCTCAGGATCATCAACAACAAAGTCACACAGATCTAAATCATATCAGCCCGAAAGTAAACCACATAGATGAATTGCTGAAGAGATGGATGGCATTTCGATCATGTCGGATAAGGGTGCAGAGGTTACATGTAAAGGCTCAATTGCTCAAGTTGGAGAAGCAGCGGTTTAAGTGGCAAAGGATTTGGTGGAAGCAGGACAGGGAGATGAAGAAGATGAGACTGGAAAATGAAACTCTGAAAATCGAGAACGAGCGGATGGAAATGGAACTGGAATTCAAGCGACTGCGTGCTGATTACAGCTTAGGTATTTCTATATAAGATTATGTGTATGTTGCTATTTTATTTTATTTTCTCCTTCTAAATCTTCAGTTTTTAACGCCTGGGATTTGGGCATTCCTTTCTTATAATATGTTCTTAAAGTTTATTATATATGTTGAAGGTTTTCAAATTCTGTTGCTTTTGTTGAATTGTGACAAGAATTCCAGAAGTGGTGTCTTAAATGATGAGACACATTAATTTTACAGCATTTTGAGAGCACAAAGGCATTAATTTTATCAGGTGGATTTTGAATTATTTAATCATAGGATTCCTTTTAGAAATTAAATAGTGCTGATTCTGCTGAATTAATTTTTGCCCCTTGGTTTTCAAAAGCAAACAAAAACGTCCTTGTAATTAATTAACCCATGTCCTGTTACTCTCATTTTAACATAACCAGGGCATTCGTGTCATTCCACTGCAAGAGTAAATAAAAATAAATAAAATATCTAGCCCGGAGCTCCAACTCTTGACACATGATAAAAAAACAGTAATAATAGGTTTACACCACCTTCTCACATCATGACGTGACACATGATATGATAGTGCTACATCAACAAAATGCCATGTCATTTCCCTCCAAATTCAAAAAAAACCCAAAATTTCAATTTTCAATTTACCTAAAACAAACCTCAAATCGAATCTCAGTTTCTCCAAAATACAAATAATAAAATCTCTCCCCAATTTTCCTTTCAAGATTAGCGAACCTGATTCTTTTCGATGCCCACCACTGTTTCCTTCTCTTCGTTTCCTCCAATTGCGTCCCCAACGAACGCCGCACCCGTACGTGATTATTTCCCGCTTGCTGGGTTCTAAAACGTCACACTTGTAAGGTTAGGAGTTGTTTATATGATTTTAAGCCTGAGTGTGTACCTTCTTAGGGGAATTAGAATGTGTAACCATTAGTGAAGAATGTAGGGACTCAATAAAGAAAATAAATCGATGTCAACATGAACTTTGGCATAGTAGCCAAAGGCTTTAGCTCTTGTAGCTTTATCAATCTAAAAGGGAATTCCAATACCTTGAGATAATGACTTTAATTTTATTAAAGTTTTTCCCTTTTTCTTGCATAAATTTGGTCAAAGTTTTTGGTTTTTTTAGAGAAAATAATTGATTTTTGATATGTGGGTATGTAGAACGGAAGTTAAAGGTTTGTTTTCTTCACTGTGATGCAAGGATTCAAACTTTTTCAGCCTACCCAAAACTCAAGTTCATGTAGCTTAGTAAAATTTCGGTCCACTTGAGAAAAAAAAAAAAAAAAAAAAAAAACAACATATTTCTGCCAGGCCTACTTTTGAAATGGCCCACAACTTAAATAATGGTAGAAAAATGCCAAAGATGCCAGTGTATTCTTAAAATTTGGGTAAATTGTTGTAAAACAAAGTTCAATGCACTATGAGAAAACAATTCCAATCAACCACACTATTTCATTTGATGGAAGCATAAGCATATGGTGTCAAAGATGAGACTTTTTTTCATTATCCTATTTCACTTGAAAGGTTCCACTATTTGATTTATTATTTGATCTTTAAGTTTGTAAGTCTGAAGATGGTGTTCCAAGAGCATTGAATAGCTTCTCCTAGAAGAGAATAGTTTATACATTTAGAATTTTAGTTTTCAACTTCCATGGTCATTTTAGTATTACTTCAGTTTGCATAGCTTGCGTTTATTTGTCGGCTATATTTCAGGCTTTTTTGTTTTAAAATTTGAATCTTCGCATGATGGCTTGTTAAACCTCGTGACACGATTTGCTTTTTAACTTTTTGGAAGAACTTTTGATGACGTGCATTCCTCGTGCTCTACCTTCATCTTAGATCATTAGATATTCGTTTCATGCTGCATGATACTATTGGCCTGTCACGAATTATGAAAAATAATTCTTCCTTTTTTTTCCTCTGGTGGCATCTTGTGAGATACATAAAACAGAAAACCATCTTTTACAACTGGTTAATGAGAGTTATTGAAATGAATTTTATCCTTATTGAGAGCTTATTGCTATTAGACCCATAAAAAGGAAAATGAAAAGTCATGCTGGGTGTTCTACAGTATTTTTTAGTGTCACAAAACTCAAATTGTGTTTAAATTAAGGATGAAATTTAAACGTACGGAAAGTAAAAAAGTATGCTTGAGCTCTAAATGAGACTATAGTCATGTATTGCTTTGCTTTTCAAGTGTATTTGTTGCCCAGGCTGGTCCGAGAATGGGAGCCTTTGTCACAAAAAATGATTATAACCTTTCGGCACGGATACAATTAGCAGTTTATGACAGTGGAAATAGATCTGTGCATGTGGTGCCTTATATATCTAAGCTACTAATTATGACTAGAAGATTCCTGATATGAACATTATTATGATAAATACATGTATGTTCAACTTTGAAAATGTTTACACTAAAACCACTGAAATATATCATTACTCAACTGACAACAAAGTTAACTTTAGAACAAATGGATAAACTTTAATGTTGGCACCACAGAAATAGTAATCTTACACTACTAATTGATGATTTAATTTATTTCCACCTAAAATGTATTTTCAAAACAATTCTAAAATCCTTTATAAAATCAAGTTGATTTCTCTATAAGATTTATTGTTAAATTACAAATGTAAAGTTAGGATAAATCATAAGTAGCGTAAGATTACCATGTAGCTAGCTATGGAAAAAGGTCGGAATCCATGTCCATGCTAAAAACAAATCAAGGTAATTCCATGCATGCTTAAGTAAGTTGTGCTTTTGAGCGTTTCATTTTTATTTGTCATTGTCCTGATTATAAAACTAACATTGCCAAGGGCTCTCTGAGGGGATTAGATCAGCACAACCAAGAGCTCTCAGCAACATGGCTGTTTGCTTGCCTTTCAGTGCTAGATAAGTTATTCTTTGTCAAGGTCTCTCTGATTTGAATTAAACTTGTTCAATAAATTTGTAATTATGTTTGATCCTTAGATTTGTAGATTCAGCTTAAAATAAATAAAAAAATTAGTATCAGTTTCTTGATTTTTAAAACTTGTGTGCTTGCTGAATCTGCATTCTGGATATATGTGCTCTTGAGTATGATTAAAATGGTATAAGTTTGATTCACTTGTCTATGGGTAATTGGTGCAATGGGTCTGTGTGAAGGAGATATGAATTTTGAATTGATTTAGTGGGAAGTTTTGCATAGAGTTGGTGTTAAACTCACTCGTTTGACAGACAAATGGAAGGTGCATTATCATTAGATAGTTGTATGACTGGAAAGGCTACATGGTTTGAAGGCTTGCAAGGACTGATGCAGCTTCATCACACCACGACCCACATTTTACCAACCTGGGTCACTGGAGCAGCTTTTTAAAGGTCAGTTGATTTTCTTATCCAAAACTTAGATTGTAGGAGCTAAACCACTTTCCTCTTTTCTTTTCTTTATTTAATTTTTTTGTTCTGGTGCCAGCTTATCAGGATTGCTTCGACAAAAATTAAATTTGTTTGGTTTTGGGTTCTGTATCCTTAACATAATTACTGATGCAAGGTCTGTTCGATGTCCTGCTTCCTTATGGTTAGTGCTGGTGGTTTAAAGAAGAGGAGTTAAGTTTATTGCCAGCAATGGTGATCATTTGAAAATAGAATACAAATAATTATAAGAGAGATAGACAGAGGAGAGGCTAAAAATGTTTTCTTTTTTTATCTGAATGGTTATGGAGGCGAGACATTTTCTAAAAGTGATTTATGTATTTATATAGTAAAATGATAATTTAAAGGTAGGCCTTGAGATTACTTTTGGAGATTCTTAGAATAAATTTCATCCTATTCTTTAGAGTATAACTATATATTTTATTTTGATTTACAAGGATAGTGTTTATCTATTGGGACTTTGAGATTGGATTTCTTCTTATAGTTCATTTTTCTTGATCATTATCTTTAAACTATCCAAAATTCAAAATAATAGTCATGTCATTGTTTACTATCATATCGTGAACTGGACATATAGCTAGCACACATCAAACTAAGGTTAGAAGAATCAGTTAACACAAAAATCTAAACAATGCAAACGATTTAGAATGTAGTTTTGGTGGTATTTGTTTTTTTTTTTAGTTCGCAGCATAGCTTCTGGACTCCAACCATTTTATTGAATATACTTAGTTGTATTATGATATGATTTTTATGCCAATAGCAAAGCTCATTTTAAGACTATGTCAGGTACTGTTAGAAGTATGAAATGAAGAGGAGAACAAGAATAAGATTCTGATGAGAGTTTTCTCTTGGATTTGGAATGATTAAACCATGATTTTGCAAAGTATTTATGGTTATGCTAATTATTTATGTCATGGATTCTATAAATGNTTGTATGTGCAGACTTCTTAATTAAGCACGCCACCACCACCAATCACAACCGTTTTACACATCCACTGTCCCTTGTAGCACGACCAATTCAAACCACACCACTATCGTAAACGTTCAGTGTTTGCTCATCCTCTTCCACCACCACTTTAAAGATGGAGGAGTGTATTGTTTTTAGCTTTTCTTTTTGGTGTCTAGAATTTTATAAATTTAGTGTTAATTCTATCATAGTGGTCCAAGAAATTACTTGGCCGTGGTTGTTGCTTGTGTTGGGTTGGTTGGGGGGTTCGTTTGGGTGTTGGGCTAGAAAGGATACAAGCAGGTGAAGGGTTGAGGGCTGCTATGAGTTGGGATAATCCTTTTTGGGAGGCTGGCTTTTTTTTTCTGCTGCAGTGGGTGATGTGTCCGATGGCTATTGGCAGTAGCTTGGTTTGGCCCGTTTCCCTTCACTTTTCGTGAGCTGTTGCTGAAGTTTTTAGTGGCTGGATTGGGTTTTTGCTTGTTGCAACTGCTTGCTTTGTTTGTCTTGTATTTTTTTTTTTTTTTTTGAAGATCTGTTTTCGTTGAAGTCTTGTGCTTAGGCTTCCTTGTTTGTTGTTTTGTATGCATTATTGTTGATCATATATGTTGACATATTAAGTGTTTAATATGGACTTTTGCTTCAGTTTGCTTGACAATTAAAAGGATAACAA